AATTGAGTTTAGGGGGGGGGGCTAATTGAGTTTCTTTTGTCAACACAACGGAAAACAAAAAAAGAAAAAAAAGCATCAAAGTCTTTGGGGTTTTTGTTTTTTTTTCTGCTGAAGGGGGGCTTCAGCCCCCCTTTGCCCCCCTTCCCCCCCGGTCCGCCCTTGAAAACATCTATAGGCTTTAATCATATGACCATTCTGAAAGTGGAAAAATGAAAAATATCCTGTCACCACAATCCGACCCTGATGTTTTTGATTATACTTTTTACGTAGATATTGTTGAATGCTGGTGCTGATGTCAATCAAGTGTCAAAACGCTATGATCAATATTCACCCCTTCACATATGCGTGTGTATGAATAAATACAAAAGTACTGAGTTTCTACTGAAGAGTGGAGCTGACATGAATGCTACTGATCGCGAGGGCTTAAGACCAATAGACAAAACGGAAAAAGGATCACTAAGTTGGAAAGTTTTAAAATCTTATGAAGGTAAATAAGGTTGAGGTTGATACAAAAATTACAACTGAGGCAACAAAAATACACTTAAGGCATCACTTTAACACCTTAAATGAGTGCAGTCAATCCTAGCTCCAATCAAATCTCTGCTCTACGCTAAGTCTCTACAAGCCATCCATTCTCAATTTCAATCACCCTGAGTTGCCTTTTTTAGTTTGGGTATAATGTTTTCCCAATACAGGCTACCTGTCATTCTCTAGGGTATTATTTCTTTGTTTATCAGTTGTGCATGAGAAGACACATGAATGTGGATACAACTTGAACAAGAGAATGACTAGTGGTCTGAAAGGGAAAAAATTATGACCAAGCTAAAAGAAGATGATGTTGAAGATGTTTTAAAGTGATAGGTATTCAATAATTGAAAACATAACTTTTTTGTGATAGGTCAAGTTCATCCTCTGATCTGCATATGTCGCTGGACAATAAGAAAGATGCTTGGACCAAAAAGACTGGATAGTATCACAACCTTGCATATACCAAAAATTATGCAAAGATATTTATTGAAATACGAATTCTGAATTCAGATATTTTATTTGTTTGAATAACTACGAAAATATAATTAATGATTAAATCGTAATCTCATTAACTTATATAATCATAATTTATTATTGTATATATCAGTTATTGCTGAAATTAAACTGCATATGCAACATCTCAGTAATATTTAGTCTTTAAAATAGTCTAAAAAATTTTAACCTTTTTTTCTGCATAATTAGTCGGCAAGAGAATATGAACTAAGAGAAGGAATCCTACCTATATAGCCTTGTAACCATCATGTGCACAGTTTGATGCTATTTTTAGCTTGGAGATATTTTGAGCGAAGAACCTGATTGGTTGGTCCTAAAACGAGGCATTAAAGGGAAGCATGATTATCGTGCGGGCATGGCAACGAGCTAAAAATAGCATCAATGATTCTAAAAGTAGCATCAAAGTGTGTACATGATGGAACACGGGGATTCCTTCTCTTAGTTCATTTTCTCTTGTAGTCGACGGTGATTCCTTTGAATTTGTCGTAAAATTCCTTTAGATGTAAATAAAATTCTGACGTATTTATAGGACATACTACTCACAAAAACCATTGAAATAAAGTGGAAAATGTTTTCAGTAATTGAACTTCTCCGCCTAAAACAAATAMAACTTTTGGGCACAAAATCCTATTATGAAAAAGTCGCAAGTCGCAAGTCGTTTTTCCTTACGAATGGCGTCACTTGCGCGGGCCAATTATTGACGTCAACGACGACGTTGACAATCGTTGACAATCAAATTTTGAAAAACGAACAAGGCAAAAAAAATTTTGTTCGTAGGATTACTTTCGTTCCTAGAAAATGGAAGTCGCTGTTTTAGCATCGGGAACTTCAGATGGAAAGATTTCGATGAAGAAAAGTAGCAACGGTGAAAGCAAAGATATTGCTGCGCATTTTTCGGCGGAGGAGAGATGCAACGAAGAGAGGAAAGGAAGTGATTCAAACGATCGCAGTAATTGCAAATTGAATGAATTTTCTTTAGAAAGGAAAATGTCATTCAAAGAACTAAGAAAGAAGGTTGAAGAGATCAAAGATGAGCCAAATTTAACACCAAACCGTGGTCAAGTATCTTTGGTCATGGAATGCAAAGATAASCTGCAGCATGTGCAGCAGAAAGAAGTGCCGACGACTAAAAGAGAAGAAAGGAAACATTCAGAAGGGAGTGTAAAAGGTGAGCCTGTAAGTAGTCTTCACCTCAGCCAAATAAAGATCCAACAGTGGACGAAGATAAAGGCGAAACAGGATGTTGAAGAATCATTAATTAGAGTCAAACAGGTTTGCGGTGCTCTGGAAGGCGACGCCATTTATCACTACGAGAACGTCGATGACTTTGACGACACGATAAATAGACATTATCAACCAAATAGATGTAGACATTTCAGGAGAAGTCACTTACTTGGTGCGATTAAACGACACATATGCTGTAAATACAAATTTGACGAAAATGGCAAGATTTCTGCTGATGTAACCTGTGGAGGCAACCCTACTGAAAATTACGAAGTAGATCTGAGACTCTACCTCCTTAAAGAGATTGCTAGAGGAGCAAAAACTATACAATGTCTTCAGAAAGGTTGTACTAATTTTTATGACCCGTGGGACGTAGTTGAGGTTATTGGCAATGAAGATGCCCAAGCATGGCTGGAAAACACCGCAAATGATCCTCTAAATGGACGACACGAAAGCGCGATTTCATCATTTATAACACAAAAAGAGAATTTTCAAGTGAAGAAGACTTCTCTAATAAAAAATCCGAGAAAGTCAGAGCCAAAGGAAAACTGGTGGACGAGAAAATCTAAAGCGAAAAAAATAAAAGTCTTTGAGCTTCCGAAAACAAAGTCCGATGGAAAACGCGTGCCAGACGGTCTTGCTATATCTGCAGGCAAGGATGTTAAAGACGCTACAAGTAAAGTAATCAAATACAAGCATGAATGTGCTACTTGTTTGGAGGGATTTAACGAAGACCCAGAACCCGGTGGCCTGACGTGTAAACACTACACTTGCAGACCGTGCCTTGAGCATTACCTTAAAGTGCAGATGTGCAACATGATTACAAGCATCGAGTGCCCTCGACTTGACTGCTGCGAGCGATTCGACACGTCATTTATCTTAGCTGTTCTTGACAACATTCCACTTCGAAATGCATACATAAGACTTTACAATAAGAGAAAGGAGCTGGATTACAGAAAGAAAAGGTCTAAATCTGATGAAACATGCCACCAAAGGATGGAACAGGCCGAAGAGAGTTCTTCTGAAGAGAATCAAGAACGAATAACCAATCCTGAAGTGTCCAAAACCTCGTCAGACCCTTGTCTTAAGTTGAGAGTCGACTGCAAAAGATGTCCTGGATGTGACTCCATGACACACAGAACCGAGGATGACGAGGCATGTAACATTGTCATATGTGGCTTTTGCAGGACAAAATTCTGTTGGAATTGCGGAAAGAAGTGTAACGAAGCTTTTCACCTGTACAAGTGTCCTCTTTATGGCAGGAACAAGTTCAGTAAGAGAAGAAAAATAGCTAATTTTTTTGGTTACAGTACTGGGTTAGCTGTGGCAGTACCAGTCGTTGGCAGCCTTGTCATAGGTACGTGTTGGACAAAAGAGAAACATACTGTTCTGAACCAATCGAAAGGCGAGAAAATATGCTCGGATTTATCACAGTCCGCATTGAAGCAATCTGAAAAGTTATGACACCTTGCGTTGCTTGGTCCTGACTGGCTTCAGTTTGATTGATATGTTTGATTGCACCCCGCACATCTTGATTGGTCACATAGGTAACTCCGCACTGTCAAATTAATATTACAGTGTATTCGAGATGCGTTATTAGTGATATTTTTCAATTGGTTCTAATATTTCAGCCCTATAACAGATTTCCTGTATATACATTTATTGAGTGTTTTTTTTCTTCTTTTTTATTTGCCTTTCGTCACTTCATTATTGCTTCCAATAGTCCCCTTCACGGTTCCCTGCGTCATCTTGAAAGGTAGCCGGGCCTTTGCATCTAAGCGAGACGAACGGTGAGCTTGTATTGATAGAGACCTGTGAATAATTGTCTAAGGTGTTAAAAACAGGTCCTTATCATTGCAAGCTCACCGTTCGTCTCGCTTCGATGCAAAGGCCCGGCTACCTTTCAAGATGGCGCAGGGAACCGAGGATGGGACTATTGCATAAATTTTGCTCCGTTTGCTTCTACTGTTACCATAGGAACAGGTGCAGTGGCACTAGCAACCTTAATTGCAATAGGATCACTAAGCCCTCCAGTGCTTCTTTCAAGGAAGATGCACAAATACCACAAACTCCACAGTTCCTCAGCTTGCAGAAGGCGGCTATCTGTGCTGGGGGGAGTAAGTCTTGGGGTCCTGGCTTTGCCAGTCCTTTCCTCGTGGGGAGTCTACAAAACTGTCCTCACAGCTTCAAGGAAAGCAGCCAAGATTATCTACAAGCTCAGGGTGCCAGAAGAAGATGGTCGTGATCTTAACCCCAAACCAAAAGTTGTTGCAAATACTTTGGAAATAAATTGTGGACAGGAAAAAGAGAGCACGATGGACAAAAATACAATTCATTGAGCAAAAACAAAACAAAACAAATCTTCCGTACCATGGATAGATTTTACTTTTATTCAGACAAACGTTCTTAACATTAAGCTTTATTTTACATAAATTTATGAATTACAACTTTTTCCAAATCGTACAGTGGTCTGCGTCACTTTTATTGCATCATCATAGATTCGTATGCGTAGAAAATGGTTTCCAAGTGTTGCCACATGAATAATTGGATTTCAAGGAACGTGAAGTATGGCTATATACGATTTCAAAATGCTATCTCGAGGAAAATGAAAGTTTTTTAAAACCTTAGTATTATCAAAAAACTGATGACATTTATTTTTTTAAGTTAAATTAATCAAAATATTTAGTTTTTTTGTTTTGGATAAAGTGCTGGTTGATTGGCACCAATCTTACTGGTACCAGTATATTAAGTAGCCATGCAATAAGCCGAGACAATGGAAACATCCCTTCTATTTACGAAAAGATCAAAAGTCAACAAAAATAAAGGTAACAAAGCCAAATTTATGATTCGAGAAGGGGAGCGACATCCCACATGGTGGAGAAGATCCAACCTCCCTGAGAAGATCAAGTAAATATAGAAAGCACTTAGGTTCAGGTGGAGACTGAGGTACGTCTTTCGAGTTATACTACATTTCTATAATGTCGAGTGACCACTCCAATTTCTTCAAGAGGCTTTGCGAGGCTTGGAAGTTGTTATGATTCGCGTTTAAATATTGACTCCTCGGATTTAAAACATCGTGAAAAAATTGACGCATTTTGTAGTGAATTAGTAGAATAGCGAACAAAGCAAATTCCGTGCGCGTAGTATCTTTTGGGCTCTTTCAAAATGACACAAATTTCATTTTATTCTTTGATGAAAATTTCACCTGCACGAGTCAATTTTAGTGGTATCCGAGAAAACTTCATCTGGTCACATATGATACATACTCCACGGTCAAATGAGAATCAGATGGTAGTTATTGTACGTTATGGGGACATATAGTTATATACGTCTATCCATTTAGAGTCAGTACAGACTCTACTGCAGGCAAGACTGATAAAGAATTAGTCAGATTTCTGTATCAGCTACTAAAAGGATACTAGTATACTATTGATGATATAGGCAAGCGTTTGGTAACGTAGTAAGAACCAAAAGACATGAAAAAAAAAAAAGATAAACGTTTTAGATGTTTTCAAAATTGTTTGAAATTACCAATTACCAATTACCAATTACTCTTTTTCTATCGATGCTGCTTTCTGATTGGATGAACTTCTACTAGGCTATAAGTTATATCCTACTAGTAACGAAAAGTGCCGGCTTCTTGAAAACCAAATTTGAACTCCAAAAGTTGTTTACATCTATATTATATTTGACGGACTAGTAGGATATTACTAAAACAATTAGTCCTCTCGCCCTCATGGCCTATGAATCAAAAGCCCATCCAGCCTCAAGGGCTATTGACTCATAGCCCATTCTAGCCTACATGCAGCCGAACTAACTAGCTGTTAAGTTCGAATTAACATATGATTACTGAAAAACAAAAGGTATAGTTATGTAAATAGTTTGGCCTTGATAGAGTCACTTTGAACATTTAGAGTTGTTTTTTTCTTGTATAAATACCTTTTGTTTTTCACAAGTATTAATATGTTAATTCGATTGATCTTAAACTACTGTACCGCTTGTTATYCACTATCCCTTGATAATGGGAGTCATGACGACACCGAAACGTCGTGAAGTAAAAACTATATGTTTCCTAACACTGTCCTTTTTAATATCAGAGAAAAGACGAAATTCAGGATGAAAAACGTTCTGGTATTACTTCCGATCTGGAAAACTTTGGGAAACCTCATAATCACCGCAGTACAATAATCTCTATTCTTCGTTTGCACGTTACGTCATCGCGGCCATGTTGGTACCATTTAACAAAAGATTTCTCATTAGCATCTATTGTTAACGGTACCACAATGACCGCCATGTTTTTGTCTTTTAACTCTCTTGGGAATGCTTGCAACCCATCAATATGATCTTTGGTCGGTTTTAACAATCACAGCGCGCTAAATTCGATATTAAAGTCTAAAATTACAAAAAAAGATAAATCCATGTTCGATGTTGGGGCGTGACAATAATAATCAATGGCACAGTTTGCTCACGAAATTTACTCTTTATAGCAATGAGTCCTTTATTTCACGATCTATTTGAAGTTATGTAATAAGAAGAGATAACTAGCTAAAAACTAGTGCGAGCTGCGTCGGTGTTTCTAATGAAACAGTAATGATAAAAAGGTAAATTATACACCGTGAAAAGATGAAAAAAGCTTACTGACGTTTCGGACGCTCTTTTACTCCGACGAAGGACTAGCGTCCGAAACGTCAGTAAGCTTTTTCATCTTTTCACGGTGTATAATTTACCTTTTTAATCATTACTGTTTCATTGGAGTTATGTAAGTAGTTTTAACCTCAATGTAGGACCTGTTTGGTTCAGTCACCTAGCTTGAGTTGTTTGCTTTGTTGGTCACCTGTTTTCTTAGCATGTCGATCCACCTGTTAATCTAAACAAAGTGAAAACTTAAGTCAATATTAAGACAACTTTGGAATTTTAATGTCGTTGACCTTACCTTGATCTGGTCGTACATTTAAGGTCATTATTGGGCAGCAATTTGATTGGGACTCACGCTGCCCAGAAACATCTCATTTGGGCTAATGATTATTGGAAAGAAAAATCTGATGTCAATGGTTTAGGATCCAAACGTGCGAACTTCTCACCACTTCGATTTTTTGAAGCTCATTTTCTATTCATTGAAATCAATATGTCATAGTTGATGAAGATCTCGGCTTTGATTGCTGGCTTGGGAAAGTACATACCAACTTAATATTCTTCTGCTAATACACTCCACTGTCGTTAGTACTACCGAACAATCGTTGGATAACAGAGAGATCGAAATCTCGCGTTTGGATTAAGTTAAGATCATAAAACGTCAAGGAAATTTTTGGCATATTAATCACTTTTTGGCACTTCCCTGGCAATTGAAAACGACATTAAAAAAAAAGAAGATTCGTTTATTTATTTTGAACGACTGAATTTCACTTAGAACTGAGGRAAAAAAAAAAAAAAAAATCTTGGCCACTTCAAAGGTACAGGCTCCGTTAGGCATCATCAATAGTGCATAGTGAACATAGCAATGTCATCTTTTGGACAACTTTACGAAGACGACTGCTCCATCGCTTGTAGACCACCAAATATCAAAGAATTCCCGCCTGATGTTCTAACACAAGACCAACGCTACTATGGTGGTGTCGTTCTTCACTTGCTTTTCTCCATACACATATTTTGCGCCTTGACTGTCGTATGTGAGGATTTTTTCGTAGCCTCCTTGAATCAAATCAGTAGATGTCTCGGACTGAAGCCCGATGTTGCAGGAGCAACGTTTATGGCGATAGGAAGCTCTGCCCCTACTCTTTTCATATCTATAATATCTATCTTCTTCACTGAAGGAGACATTGGGCTTGGAACTATCGTTGGCTCTACTATATTCAATACCTTGTTCATTATCGCTTTATGCGGGATCGGCGCGGGAGTTGTCCTAGAATTGAAGTGGTATCCCGTATGTCGGGACTCTTTGGTTTATATCATCAGTGTTATTGTTCTTATGGTATCGATATACGACAACGAGGTTTATTGGTACGAGGGACTGATTTTTGTTATAGTGTACTCGATATACATTATCATCATGTACTTCAATGATCGGATAGAGAGGGTTTGCCACAAGATGGAACACAAACTGAGAAAAAAAGAAATGGAAACAGAGGAAGCGATACCCGAAGAAGATGAAGAATCTGAGGAAGAAAAAGATTACGACCACAAAGTTGATGACTGGGGGTTTCATGAGACTCCTGCATCCCGACTGACGCCCCCCGAAGGCAACTGCGCCAAGCTGCTTTGGGCTTTCACCTTGCCTTCAATAATCCTCTTCTACGTCACCATCCCAGACTGCAGAAAGCATACATGGCGGAAGTTTTATTTGGTGACGTTCATGGTAGCAGTGCTGTGGATGGCTATCCTATCGTACTTCCTGGTCTGGATGGTTGCTATCATAGGGTATACCTATACTATTCCAGAGAGCGTCATGGGCATGACATTCCTGGCAGCTGGCAGTAGCCTTCCTGATGCCATCGCTAGTTTGGTGGTAGCCAAGCAAGGAAGCGGTGATATGGCGGTATCGAATTGTATTGGCAGCAACGTGTTCGACATGCTCTGTTTAGGAATCCCATGGTTGATCAAGAGTGCTTTCTTACAGCCTAACCAACCTGTCATTATCCAGAGTGAGCACATCTTCTTCACCTCGGCCATGTTGATCGGTAGCATCATTTGCACCATGCTATTGATACATCTAAACAAGTGGTTGTTGAACGTACGCGTGGGTGTCGGGTTTCTGGTCATGTATTTCTTGTTCCTCATTGTAGCAACATACATCGAGTCTCTTACTTGCATCAGTTGTCTGAGAAGCCTCATTTGAGGCGGCGAAAGTGTTACAGTCGTTCATCCCCTTGATAGGGCACCCTGCTTTTATGTACAGTCACTGCTTTTTGTCCCTTTGAAGTGCATTAACTCTAATACAGACACTTTGGCTGGTTCCTTTGGTGTTTGTATTAACGATATTCACTATGAAAGTGTAGTACTAAGTATAACTGCAGCTTTTAGCCATTGAACAATGTTGCGTGACAAGGCGAAAATTCAGCTGACAATTCTTACTGGTTAAAAATTATCCGAAAATATGCCAAAAATGTTCATGTTTTCATGCTAGTTCTGCTCGACAATGGACCTAATCCACTCGGGCGTAGTGTTTTGCCAATTTCAGACCACGTGTCATTCTCTTGAGAATATGATTCCTGTTTGAGTTGTATCTATATTCATGTGTCTTCTCATGTGCAACCGTTAAACAAAGAAATGATACTCTATGGAATGACACGTGGTCTGAAATGGGAAAACAGTGGATCAAAAAAAGAAAGAAATTTAGATTTTTTAGTTAGAGGAACCAGAGGACAAACGTATGCCGTAGTTCCCAGAGGCATTTACAATTTGAGGTTTCATATATTAATAGGTATTTATAAAAGTGTGTGGTAGAAATTTTGGGCCTTCTTCACACGGCAGCCATGTTGGTTTGAAAAAATGTTGCGAAAAGTAGAAATCAATTCTATATTTTTGGCAACGATTGCGCAACGCTAGTGCAGTTTTTGTATGACTCTGAAAAGCTCAGTTACGTAAGCGTGACGTGCCGTGACCGTGATACTTTCTAGAATTTTAATTGGCTGATTTTTTTCTCGTGCAATATGATTGGTCTAAAAGTGCCGTGATCTTGGCGTGACCGTGTCTGCGCCGTGTTTATGCCGTGTTCCGGGTATTTGATTGGATGGAGAGTAAATTCTCGTGCAATGTGATTGGTCTGGCGTATCCCTTGCTGTGTCACGACCGTGTTCGTGCCGTGAGCTTTTCACAGTCATACGAAAACTGCACTATTGCGAGACAAGTTGCAGAGAAAATTTGTACAATGTAATTGCGCCTTTCAGACTATTATTACTTTCGAACTCAATTTTTAGAAAACAAGATTTAAAAAGACGAGGACCAAAACCCTCTCCAATGTTCGAATCTTGCGTTCTGGCTGGCCAGCATGAAAATGTTGGTTGTGTATTAACCCCATTACTATAGTCCCAAGGAACCATCCTCTTAAAACACAGGCAGCCCAAACAATAACCTTTACTGTAATCAGTATTGCGCTAGTTCGTGAACTGAGATTCATTTGTTAAGAATGATAGATAGTAGAATAAATGTTATAAATCCAATTTTTCTGTTGTACTAARAGTTTAATCTCTTAGCATGTATTTTATTGAAGACATACAATTAGACACAATTTGGGGCTGAGCGAAGCGATACAAAATGGCGAGATTTTCTCATTGCCTTTCTTTATTCATCTCTTCATTTCGCGCTTGAAAATGACTTTCGTTACGACTTTGACCCGTCATCCTGAACTTCAGCGTGAGTCCCGAAGGTATTGTGGGGTTAACTTTTAATAGACTGAATATGGTTGTGCCCCGGCAATGTTTTCCCATTTCAGACCACGTGTCCTTCTTGAGAATAAGATTTCTTTGTTTGAGTCGTATCCATATTCATGTGTCTTCTCATGCGCAACCGTTAAACAAAGAACAGATACTCTACGGAACGACACGTGGTCTGAAATGGGAAAACATGATTACTCTCAAACTGGCTGAAAAACGAGTCAGCGGTTAAGGTAAAATCGCGAGATCAACTCTTTGTATACAAAATGCCTATGGCTTTGAAAAAATCAGCTACAAAAGCGTAGAGGATAAACTAATTTCCTGAAGGTCGTATACAACTCGGCAAATGATCGCCGTGAGGTGCGCATGCGCGTATTTATTTCCAGCCTTGTCGCTATTCAACAATAAGCCAAGCCAAAATGCCATTGCGGAACCAGATAAAAACCAGAAAGCCCAAAGTTTCCTGTGATAAAAACTTCGTCATATTAAAGATCAAACATATTTTCGTTCTTTCTTTCAGATCTTCCCGACCAAAACCATGGAGGAACTTGTAAGACACGAGCGAAAAATTGCTTTATTACACCTCCATCATCATCCACGACCACACTTCTTCAATTGTACATTCACGAAACACTCAGTGATCAGTGTCCTACATTACAACTCGTTGTTTACGTTGGAAGAGCGTCGTAATGGTGCTGTGATTATCCATTTTCTCATCAGTCTCTACTGCTTTACGGCTCTTGCTATTCTCTGTGATCATTACTTTTGTGCTTCGTTGGAAAAGCTTTGTAAAAGGTAAGGAATAGCATAACGTAACTTTTGGCATGATCAAAGTCAGTGAACGGATAACTCACAGATCAAACCCTAAAACAACCTCTGGGCTGATCTAAGTCAGGGCACGGCTAACTCACAGATCAAACCCTAAAACAACTTCTGGGCTGATCTAAGTCAGGGCATGGCTAACTCACAGATCAAACCTGAAACAACCTCTGGGCTGATCTAAGTCAGGGCATGGCTAACTCACAGATTAAACCTGAAACAACCTCTGGGCTGATCTAAGTCAGGGCACGGCTAACTCACAGATGGAACCCTGAAACAACTTCTGGGCTGATCTAGGTCAGGGCATAGCTAACTCACAGATGGAACCCTGAAACAGCTTCTGGGCTGATCTAAGCCTCAGGGCATGGCTAACTCACAGATCAAACCCTGAAACAACCTCTGGGCTGATCAAAGTCAGGGCATGGCTAACTCACAGATGGAACCCTGAAACAGCCTCTGGGCTGATCTAAGCCTCAGGGCACTGCTCACTCATATGTCGAAAACTGAAACGACCTATGAGCTGATCAAAGTCAGGACACGGCTAAAAAACACGCTCGAATCAAGGGACTCTCTACTCACATGTGATGCAGAGTCCACAAATCGACCCCAAGACGTCAGAGGTGAGGGGCGGATGTATTACCTCTACGCTACCCAGATGGCAAAGAATGTTTGGACTAATTTTAATGTTTCAATGAATTCTATTCAGATTACGTATCCCAACAGACGTGGCAGGCGCTACATTCATGGCAGCCGGGAGTTCCATGCCGACACTATGCATCGCCATCGCCTCCGTATTCATGGACGAAGGAGACATAGGGCTAGGCACAATCATAGGCTCTACCATGTTCAACATTCTATTCATCACTGCGGTTTGTGGATTATGTGCTGGGATGGTCATTACTCTTCACACGTGGCCTCTTATTCGGGATTCGTTTGTCTATGTCGTCCATTTGACGGGTCTGTTGATAGTCATTCAGGATAACGTGGTCCATTTTTACGAGGCTTTACTTTTTCCTTTGCTGTACAGTTCGTATGTGGTGATCATGGTTTTTAACACTAGACTGGAGAAACTCTTTGAGAAAATGTGTGGTAGTTATTGCAAGTATTTTAGGATTCATAAAGGGATGGAAATGGTAGAGATGGAGGATCCTAGAGATTTTATGAATTGTAACGAAACTCCGAAAGATCAAGACGCGACTGAAAATATAGAAAATAACGTCGAAGATAAGATATTAGAAGAGAAAGAATCTCAGGAACACGAAACCGAAAAAAGGTCCAAACACGAGGAAGAACCAAAGTCAAATTTCGAAGAAGAAAGCGAGGGGACTTCCCACGTACATGGATTTAAGCCCTCTTCACCATTTCACATGCCCGAGCCCCTACTAAAACGGTCCCTGTGGTTCATTTTGCTGCCACTGCATGCAATCTTCTACGTAACGATGCCTGATTGTCGAAAGAAGGAATGGGAGTCTTGGTACCCCGTCACATTTTTTTTATCAATAGTATGGATGGCAATGATTTCCTACGTTCTAGTATGGACTGTATCAATCATAGGCGAGACCCTAAGTATCCCAGAATGCATCATGGGGCTGACTCTTCTTGCAGCCGGCTCTAGTGTCCCGGATGTGGTGTCCAGTCTCGTGGTTGCCAAACACGGCATGGGAGACATGGCACTAGCTAACTGCATTGGTAGTAATATATTCGATATTCTGTGTCTTGGGCTTCCTTGGTTTTTAGCTACAACCGTCGTCCATCCACACAGTGTTGTACTCATTCAAAGTGGCCACATCATCTACACGGCACTTTGTTTGTTTGGGACGGTGTTCATTACTTTGATAGCAATTCATTTAAACAAGTGGAATTTGGATAAGCGGCTAGGGTGCGTGCTGCTTTTTGTCTATCTCTTGTCTTTGTCAGTTGCTGTACTATTGGAGGCTTTGCCTGGAGGGCCTGGAGGTCACGGCCATGAAGCCAAGCTAATTCCCCACCATCCGGGACATGTCCCTCGAAAGGGACTGGGTCATAGTAGACACCAGGCCAGCGCTAATGCACTACACAGCACATAACTACGAGACCTGGTTATGAGGCCAATCTGATTCCGGAAGACGTATCAAGGAAAGGATTGGGCTGGTATTTATCATTTAGTCACGAACCCCCCCCCCCCCCCCAAAAAAAAGATTCCAATAGTGGAATATTCTAATTCTCTCGTTTATGTTATACATTATATTTGTACAAATAGTTGGGATTTTTATTTCATAAAATTTTAATAAACTTAAAGATCTATTTTATATTCGTATTCATAATTTTACATTCAACTCGTAGTTGGTAATTTTTTACGATTTGTTTTACGTACTAATTTTTATCAACTATTTATAAAAATATTTTCGTCTCTTTACTTCCTGAGAGACAGACAGACAGACAGTTAGACAGACAGACAAACAGACATAAAAACAGCAGAGAGAGAATTTGTTTTAGCACTGAGATATTGAAATGATCATCATATATCAGATTAAATGTATTGAACTTAAATGTACTGTACCTCAGAAATAAAGGCTGGTAATAAAGGCTTAGCATCATCACGTGATGGCAGCCATGACAAGAGGCAGGAACAATGGAATCTGGTCTCGTCTGATTCAAATGAGAAAGAATTCAGTATGCCAATGGGAAAAGACTCTATTGTTGTGCCTCCTGTCTTGGCTGCCATCACGTGATGATGCAAAGCCTCCATATATCTAAAGCATGCATTTATACAAATCCAGGACATCAAACGTTTCACCTTGTTCAGTACACTATCATCACGATAAGACCAGTTTAGTGGTTTGTAGTAAGAGAGGCAGTGAAGTATTCTTGTCTCTGTGCCACCTTAAAACCATTGAGTTCATAAACAAAGTACCGTTAGCTTACAGAAGCCATTTCGATGTCAATGACAAGAAACTGTTGTGTGACAGGAAAGAAGCCATTTAAGGTGTATATCAAGGAAAACATGTTATTTTCAAAATCACTTATATGTGAACAGCGTAGTAGTATGGTGGCAGTATTTTAAGTGTCAGTGTYAAGGTACTGTTATGTGTTTGGCGTACAGGGGAAGCCATTTAAATGCCAATGTCTGTTATGTGATTGGTTTAGAGCGGAAGGTATTTGATAGTCACAGTATTACACCCATATTTTGCTATTAACGTCATGAAATATTCACTGTTCTACGTACCTTCCAGTAATCCATTCTGCATCAGGGTTGAGAATAACAGGAGCGACGCTATGACACAAATCAGAAAATAGAGGGCTGATTTTCACTTCATAAAGACATAAGACGTATACAATCTAATTTTTAGTCGTCAATCAAAGTGTTTCCATTACATTATCGGAAAACACAAAGTTTTCAAGTACACGTGCCTATGGAATATCATGGAAACGCCTTGATTGGCGTCTAACAAAACCTACTCATTTGTCGCTACGACGATACCGCAGGTGCTATTGAAAAGCAGCATCGTATTAAAATTTTGATAAAGACAAGTCTTTTCTTTGCCTGAAACATCGCAACAGAGCCTGACTCCAATCAAGCCCAATCAGTTGGTCAAAGTATTCGTTGTACCTTTGAGTATTTCGTACTCATACAAGAATAGATCCAGGTAGATCAGGTTTCCCCATTTTTCACCACGTGTCATTCCCTAGAGTATCATTTCTTTGTTTAACGGTTGCACATGAGAAGACACATGAATATGGCTACAACTCAAACAAAGAATCTTATTCTCAAGAAAATGACACGTGGTCTGAAATGGGGAAAACATTACGCCAAAGTTAAAGAGGTATACAGTTGCACTTACTTGGGAAGCTTGAGAAGCTGGATTAGTTCCTGTGCCCGCGTTACAAGATCATCGTAACATTCGGGATCTGACAACAATTCCTAAGAAAGTTGGGGAAAATTTTGATCAAAGAAATATAACAGACTCAAATCAAATTCGAAACTATATCTCTGAATATTTTTTTATTTTTTATTTTTTGGCCAAGAAATTGTACTAAATAATACAAGCCGCGAAGGGGAAAATCAAGGAAACTACAGTATAATAATATTATTTTCGTTTTCTTTTCTTTTCTTTTTCTTTTTCTTTTTTTTTTCTTTTTTCCCATATGGTGTCCTTTAGACCCCTTGCAGCACTTTGGAATGCAGCTCAATCTGGGATACATAACAAAAGGTTCCAATTCTCAGGAGATTGGAATTCTTTTGTTTTGTCCCCCAGATCGAGCTGCTTTGACGTCACATGTATGTGGTCTATATTGTGTTATAATAGAAATACAGATTCAAGAGATACTGGCCATGCATCGAGAACTTTTTCTTGTGGTTTTGAAGAACAATGTGTAGAATAGAAACTACAGCATGGTTCGGTATTCCTTTTTAATCGTYGAACATTCAACTTTGAACACTGCGCACAATCGTATTGAGTTACGATTATTATGTAATGTCATCAACATATGAAACGTGATCGTTTTACCGATTTAGCATCACCAAGCCGGGCTCCCTGTGCACTGCGTTGCGTAAATCATACAAGGACGGATAACATGCTATTACATACCACAGGGAGYCCGGCTTTGGAATCTGTACATGAATAAATAAATCAATAAAGTGCTTTGGGTTTCCTGTGTTGAGATTTGAAACAAGACGCCAATGATAAATAAGTCAACAAAGTACTTTGGGTTTCCTGTATTGAGATTTGGTAACTTGATAGCAGATTAATGTAAGTAATTCGAGAGCAGCTTATAATTCAAATCTAACGTATTAGTGTAACGCACGCCCTAGTCTTACCATTTACTAGGCGTGCGTTACACTGATACGTTACGTTAATCTGCTATCAAGTTACTGGTAGTACGATTACCGGAAATTCAACGTATCAGCGTTTTGTTTCAAATCTCAACACAGCAAACCCAAAGCACTTTATTGATTCATTTATTCGTGTACAAATCCCAAAGCCCGGCTCCCTGTGTACATACATGTTGAAATTAGTGCTCTGGGTAGGAAGATGGGCTTCCTGTGGCTTAGGGTTAGGTTAAGGTATACCATTAATACTTACTGGTTTTTGTCTAACGACTTTACTGCAGCAGAGGATAGCTCTTTGAGTCAGATCCTGACACCGAGAAGCAAGCTAGAGCGACAACAAAAGTAAAAATTACGCCCAAAAAGGTCTATTTATGGCTTCAAAATTGAAACGGCGAGCAAGTTCTTGACTCTCGCTAGGCATGTCCGCGATAATATAAACTTAACATGCGAAGGAAGACTACGTTACCTTGGCTAACGCTGACATGAAAACGGATACTAATTTTCCAGAAAACACGACCTACAACAAGAAAAATTATAATCTAGTGATTAATTTAAAAACAGTTTGAAGAAATTTTTGAGAGTAAAGTAAAAGTTAGTAAATTTTTTCGGTACCTTTCCTGGGGCTGTCTGCATTGCTACTTCATATGTCAACGCTTCAAGAGTCTGGAATTAGAGGAAGAATGCATCATCATTATCATCATCATATCCATCATCATCATTAGCGTCATCATCGTCACTGCACCATCACCGTCACCATCACCATCATCATCACCATCATCAACACCACCATCATCATTATCACCATCACCATCATCTCCATCATCATCACCATCATTACACCAACATCATCATCAACATCATCTCCATCTCCATCATCATCATCATCAACATCACCAACTTAACCACCATATTGTTAAAAAGTAGATACCTCAAAATATTGTACAATCATCTGTACCGTACAACCTCCTTCGTAAGCCGTGGATGCAAACTCTCCTATCGACCACACCTGTAATAATAAACACCCAAACAGAGGGTTATAAAAACTACAAGAATATGCAGGAACATGGAAACAGGAAACCCAACTTACTCGGGGGAAAATCAAGGGGAAAATTGGAATTTATTTTTATTGGTAAACTTTCATTTTTGTTTGCTAACCAGATTAATGAAGAACTCTTCTTTCTCAGGGCCAAGATTCTTGAATCCCGTGATGAAATCTACCAAATCCTGTTTATGTGTAGCTACAAGGCATGGGTATCTCTGGAATATCAGGACTAGCTTCTCGGCAAGGATTCTGAAACATGTATTTCAAGGAATATCTTATCTCTTTAACGAAAAAGCCCTGCCATTTTCCACATCTCAAGTTTAGTAAGCAACATGCAATGTGCAACGTGCAACATGCAACGTGCAACATGCAATGTGCAACGTACAACATGCAACGTGCAGCATGCAACATTCAATGTGCAACATGCAATATGCAAGGTGCAATGTGCAACATGCAACATTCAATGTGTAACATGCAACATGCAATATGCAAGGTGCAACATGCAATGCGCAACAAAACTTTTACCAACCTTTTTTTAAATAGCTGTATCAAGTGAGAAAGATCATTTACCTTCTGATATCAGGTTGAAAGGTTTGTGAATCGTACAACAAAACAGATCGTTCAAGAATCACAGGAATGAGCTTGCTAACGGTATCCATCTCGGCCTCGTTCAAAAGCGTCGAAAAATATAAGCTAACAAACAAATAAACAGTTCACTATATCAGTCCAAGAAAGTTATTTTCAACCATTTTCAAGGAAAACTGTCTCGACGTGTCTCGAAAATGACTTTCTGAAAGCCAAGGTAAAGAGGTCTGAAGAGGTCTATTGCTAATAATATTGTGATGTTGACTGAAAAATTGTTTATACTTACTTTAATAAAGGAGGTGCAACTTGTGATGACACAACAACACGTGGATGATCTGCCATGTCTTCAAGGAGGATGTGCAATGCTTTGAGCCTTGAAGGGAATGAATAACATTAAAACGTCCAAAATTCGAGTGGGATGAACAAATTATTCTTCTGATTGACACGACGTCCAGATAAATAACGTCTGAAATTCGCCAGTAAGTCGTTTTATAAAATAACGAACTAACTTTCTGAGACATTTGGAAACAGATTTAAGGTAAAAGTAACGCCCTTTTTATTTTTGAGTTTAATAAAAGTGGGTTCGAAATTTATGTAGGATGAATGAATTATCTTTGAGATGAACGTTGAAGCCATTGAAATGTTAAAAAAAACTCCTGCATCTTCGCGTTTTCGCGTCAATTATTGAGCATATACAGTCCATGTAAAGTATATTTCCTTCGTTGCTATGACAACGGATATTTCATTTTTCCCGTTGCCATGACGAGTAATCTCACTAACCTGCTAATAGTGTCTCCATGACCAGCTTCGGGTCTCAAAATGAAGCTAAATAACGGTCTGTGTTTGGGATCAAGGAAGGCAGTCACAGATGCGGGAATAGAGGCTTGAGAATCACTGTTATTCGATATTCTCCCTGTCATTAGATTAAAAAACTGATGGCTTGGTAAAATAAAAATAAAATTATTTAAGTGTCTAGTCGTTCTAGTGCTTTCACATTTATTGGGACACTTTTCGCTCACACGTACCACTACATTCAATATTCTATGCACACAACGCTCAAATCACATGTTGATTTTTATGGAGGGAGGAAACCGCAGAACCCGGAAAAAACCATCGTAGCATAGGAGAGAACACACATCAAACAAACTCAATTCACATGTGGCGACCGCAGGGCTCGAACCAGCGACCCGACCCGTTGGACTAACAGCGGTGAAAGACGACGCGTTAGCCACGAACGCAACCCATTCTACCCATGAAAACATTCTCGTCGATCACTGAAGAGCAATTGACAGCATGAGCAAAGAAAGCAACCAAAAATAATTAAAGCCACTACTTTACCTCTTGCCGCCCATGAAGCACATACGGAGGCTGACAAACATGGCAAGTCAAGAATACTGTGGAAAACCTGGAAAAAAATGCGGTACTATATTGGTAAATCTTGCAAAACAAATTGTAGGAGTGTTTACACTAGGCAATGTCAAAGGCAAAGTAAAACTTCTCACAACGATTACAGCAGCCCTGCAACAAGCCATTTCAAGACCAGTTTTTGGTGTGTTATATAACAGGCACTTTTTCCCACGACAAAGACGAGTTGGAAGGACCATTTCCTTGTGTAACACTGCCTTGAGTCTGGTAGTCACATATGAACACTTACGTATAGTGGTGTGTTTGTTAAACTATCTGTTTACGAATTTGTGGTGATTTCAATCATGTTTTGCAATACATTTTCCCCTCATTACTCTCACTTATATCTGTAGCGATGAGCAACCGCTTTAATCTAAATTGGGCTCCCTGTGCTTTAACTCAGTACCTCTACAACTGTATCCTCTGACATCATGACTGGGAGAAGCTGCATAAACTCTCTCAGGAATGTTCTTGGCGACCAGGCTAAGATCTGTTAGCACAGAAAAATGAACCAATCACGATAAGATGTTAATCAATATGTAAGGACCCCTTGTGTACATTGACTAAAGACCCAGCTACTCAGGGTTAGTCTCGAATCAGTGTCAAAATATTCACAAAAACCGACGGTAACGTAAAGCCCCGTTTACACTGGCGATTTTTGCGGCGATTTTTGCTGCAATTTTTGTGGCAATTTTCGGAAACACGAAATCTTTTGTCTCATCCTTCAAAAGAGACATTCGTCTAGGAAAATCTTGATATCCTGAAAAAAACTTTACAAGTACATTCTTTACCATTATTTATTATGGACAAAATCGCTACAAAATCGCAGCAAAAATACGCGCAAAAATCGCTAGTGTAAACGGGGCCTAAAAAATACACAACTTCAACAACACAAACAGTTTGACTGAAATTCCACGGACCTTCACTGGAACACATGAATATTCTACGCACGATTGAAGCTAATCCTGAGCATCAGAGAATTTGAAACTGGAGTATGATGGAAGTTGTTAAAAAGGATGTTACCAGAATGATATCCATTCTTCAAAGGAAAGAGGTTTTACAGAGTTACGTAAATCCATTTGCAATAGTGTTTATCAAATTCAATCATTTTTTTAAGCGTTAGTTGTAAATAAAGTAATGCTACTCAAGAGAAGTAACAAAACGTGCTCAAAATTACAGCAATATAAAATTTGTTAAATGGTCAGCAATACAAACCGTATTAAAAACTCTATCATTCAATTAACAGTTGATCCACGTAAAAGAAAAATTGAGCTAGTGGAAACATCCTAAGTAGTATATTATATTTTTAGCGCATATTTATACCTTGAATAAATTAGGAAAATACTTGGTGAAGACGCTGGTAGAAGAGCAGAGCTTTTCCACGTTGTCGAGACAGAACATGACGACCTCAAAAGCAAAAGAAGGCCTACGACAGATAAGAAACAAGTTCTCTTTGAAAACGAGCATGAAAAAATCTTTGTTTTTATAGCAACAAGAAGCTAATAGACCCTTTTAGCTTGGGCATGTTTTCCCATTTCAGACCATGTGTCTTTCTCTTTGAGTTGGCCCTTTGCTTGAGTTGGTCCATATTCATGAGTCTTCTCATCCGCAACCGTTAAACAAAGAAATGATACTTTGGGGAATGAAACGTGGTCTGAAAAGGGAAAACATTACTACTCTCAAAATGGCTGAAAAATATATATAAAATTACTCTAGATAATGACATGAAATTATAGTCTAGGGAATGACATGTGGTATGAAATGGGGAAAAAATTATGACCAAGGTAAAAGGGTGTGCATGCCCTACCATGAGAACATCGGCCACAATGTTAATGTTGGTTTTTTTTAAAATAAAGAAAACAAGAGGCTATCATGTCACATGTATCCTAAAAGTACCTGAAGTAGAAAGCATTGATCATTGTCCTGAACACTGCTTTACAGGCAGGCTCAGGATCAAAAACAACTGATTCACCTGAAAATCAAAAAAAATATTTCAAAAAAATGCGTTTGAATGGAAGTATTCGATAAAGAATTTTGTGCAGGGACTGTATCCTGGAGAAACATTTCCAAGACTTGTCAGTGCCTTGGATTTTTTTTTTGTTGTTGTTGTTTTTTTTGTTTTTCAAATACCGAGCACATACCAAGCATAACCAACCCCTTGCGAAAAACACTTCAGTATACACTTTCTCACAAAAATTCAGTAATCACCTTCAAATATTTAGTACGAATCACATAGGGAAGCAAGGGAGCCATAGTGCTGAGAACTCCTGTTGATTCTCTCATGTGTTTAAAGGGTTTTTCTCTGGGATCTCTGGTTTTCCTCTCTCCACAAAAATCAAGTTCTAAATTCCAATTTGATCATGAAACGATGGCCAAAGGTTCGTTAGCCACTAGCTATTAAGTTTTAACCTTGTAAACAAGAACTACTGAATTTATTTTTTATTTTTTAGAAAATTCAGCTCATTTACCATGGTTAAGCAGAAACTGCACGACTGCAAGCACCACTCTGTTCCATCTGTTCATGTCAGCAGTCACTCTACTATAGATTCTCCTGACAATTTCAATCAATTTGGGAATAAGAGACTTTTCATAGGTACACAGACGATCCAATGTGAGAATGGCTTCTAGTAGACCCTGGAGGTTAGACCAACCATCAATATCAATAATGAAACATTGACAGTGTGAGCTTTCAAAACAGTGGGCTCAACAGATGACACAAAGAAGACAGATGCAGATTGTTTGAATTAAATAGGAGATACTTGCACATGGAAGATATTTGAGCATGAAGATGGTTGCACATGGAAGATGATTGCATATGGAAGATAGTTGAGCATGAAGATGGTTGCACATGGAATTTGGTTACACATGGAAGATAGTTGCACATAAGTTGGTTTCACATTAGTTGCATTTGGACGTTTTTGACATGTAGAAGTAAGATACAAATTTATGATGACTACACTGGAAAGAGGATTGGAAACTTACAGCTTCAACTATCTGGCTGTCTTGCAATTTAGTTGGCCCTTAAATAAAAAAAACACCTATAAATATTCAGAATTTAAATCATAAAGTATTTCCTAAAGTGTATAATTCACAATCAGAAACAAAACAAAATAATTTTAATCTTGTGAGAATAGCGCAGCACGCTGATTCTAAAAATAGCTTAAAGATTCGGACAAACATTGCATTCTGTTTAACCGCTACGAGGATTATACGAACCAATTTTATTATTTTTACTTAAAGTTACAATAATAACCCATGTAAACTGCGATTGGCTGTGAAAATTATCTGCTGAAAGTAAACTTGTAGGTTTGTTTGTCCAAATTTCGCCTTTGTCTTTGTTTTTATGACGTCACGGTTGCGCTGCGCTATTGAAAAAGGGGTTTTAACAGCTACAGCTGTACATCTTACTTCTTTCACTCTGTTCCAGCACACGTAAACAGTATTCACAAGCATTTTCTCTCAGTTCCTGTTGACCCGTCTTTGGACCCTGCTGTGTAAAAAGCTTAGCAAAGCTAATATTTCTAGATAATTTCCGTTGTCCTTTGCTTGAAGACACTTGGCTCTGGGGCCTCTCCTCTGGATCTTCTGCTGTCAGAGGAAAATTTAGAGGAGTCTGCGATCGAGATCCCAGACTTTCTGTTGGTGATGATGTCATTTGGCTGACAGGAGACTGGGAAATAGGTGGAATGAACATTCCAATAGAAGACTGGGAGTTAATTGAAATATTGTCTAAATTATCCTGACTTCTTTTTAAAATACCATCTTGAAATGACAAGCTTTCCCTTGAAGGGGATTGGCTAATATTTTCTGAAGGTGAACGTGATGAAGAACCAATTGTAAAGGAGAGAGGAGGTGTTCCTTCCTGTGGGGTGTAAACAGGGCCTTGATCCAGTTCGGCTTGGACAGCCCCTGTGTTTAGTAGCCAAGATCTTAGCATGGAAAAAGTATAGATGTTGAGGAATTGGTCTGGGAAGCTGTAGTGAGCTGTAAATTAAATAAACATCATGAATGATAACATCAGAAGATTGCTCACRAGGACTAAGATAGTTGTTTTTTAATGCAAATGTTTTGGTTTGTCTACATACCAATGCTTAGGATTGTGTAGAAGAATCTGGAAGCTGTGCCATCAATTTCTGATACTGCTTGATACTGAAAGTTAATGAGTAGGTCAAAAAGGCTATTGTACAGTACAGGAAACACTACCTCCTCTGCCATGGAGTTGATTAACTGTAGCATCAGTCTGTGATATAGAGACTGGGTATGGCAAGAGGGCCTACCTTGCCCTTCCCCACACCTTTGATAAGTGAAAAAGAGATGAATGATGGGGTATGAGTATCAAGCATCACCCTCTGTAACATCAGTTTTATCAATGAATGGATGAGCTACAGTATATATCTGTGGCAAAACTGACCCACTAACACTTCTCTCCCAGAATACCTTAGTTAACAAAACTGTAATGATAGAGGGTAGCGCAAGAGTATATGGCTAGAACCACACTATCACTCCTTGAAAGTCACTGTGCAAGTCTCATCTCAYTACTCGATCCCCAGAAGTTTAAAAAATTTACAGAAGTCTGTCAATGAAGATATTATCAAAAGAACTATTACCCCTCTATTTTTGCTGCCTCCAAATAACTGTCTCTGATATGGATTAGGTGCCGATACTGTGCTTGCATGCCGAAGCCAGTGAGCCATTTGATGGCAAATCAAACCAATATCATCTGGAAAAAAATGATCAATTTATCATTACATTACTGGTAGACAAAGAAATAATATAAAAGGGAATGGATTAATATTAAGCCTGAAGTGGGAAAAAATTAGATTTGTATCGCAAAAGTAAAATCATGCATTCTATTGGTTACAGCTTACATGTACTGTATGGGCTAGACCTTTTTCAGTGTAGTTTACAGTCCGGCGAAGAGGGGGGGGGAGGGAGGAGTCTGGGATCTAGACCCCAGAATATCATTCTATAATCATTGGTAGCTTAACCAACTACAGTGCTAATAAACTAAAAGTAGGGGGAGGGGGTACTCTTGACCATTTAGGGTAGGTGGTAGGGATGTGCCTCTAAGCCCTCTCAACCCTGACCCTGTTCCAAAGTCAAATTGCTAAAATTCATACCCTGTTCCAGAGGAAGATCTTAAAATATAAATAAACCTTTTTTGGTACTTGAAAAAATTAATACTGTGTTCCAGAAAGAGAGTGTGATTTCATATACCCTTTTCCAGAGAGCAAGCGTGATTTATATACCTTGTTCCAGAGAAGTATTGCTGAAATGCTGAAAACCATACCCTGTTTGACGGCACCTACCCATATAGCAAATTTAGGGGAGTATTCCCCCCCCCCCCCCCCCCCCCCCCCCCTGTACTTTGTTTTTGGATTCTGTTTGATTGTATAGGTATCACATGTATCTATGCATGAAAGGGTCACAATGTACCTTGGGAAATCAAATCTTTGTAGGAGAAAAACACATTGTTTAGACAAGCNTTTGACGGCACCTACCCATATAGCAAATTTAGGGGGGGATTTTCCCCCCCCCCCCCCCCCAGGCATACACTGTACTTTGTTTATGGACTCTGTTTGAATGTATAGGTATCACATGTATCTATGCATGAAAGGGTCACAATGTACCTTGGGAAATCAAATCTTTGTAGGAGAAAAACACATTGTTTAGACAAGCTAATGATACTGTTTGCAAGTCAACATGGATTCCTCCACTTTTAATCCACCTATGATAAAAAATAGAATTTTAGATTAAATGTAAATTTCCAAATCCAAATTAAACATAGCACAGAAATTTATTTCGTATACTATTATTACCTTATCATCTGAGGCAAATGGTTGTTCCAATAACCCAGTTCTTTCCCCTACAATCCAACATAGTAATATGTCAACAGTAAATAATTCTTTATTTGATTCACTGTAACTGATGTTTTTTTTCCTATCAGGCATTGCTGACTAGTTGTATTTTCAATGATTTGGTATAAAATATTTATTTAAGATAAAATCCAGGATTTAAGACTAAAATCAGGATTTAAAAAAAATATCATTACTTTTGCTTTGGTGATCGTGTAGTTTTAGAAATAAATTATCCATGCTCTCCACCCCCCACCCCCACAGAGGAATGTGGAATTTCTGAGGGGTAGGGGGGATTAGAGTAAGAACAAAATTACAGAGTTTTAGGGGGAAAGACCCTGGAATAACCTCATTCCCAAGCACTATAACTTATCTATATTTCTATATCTTGTATTTCATAAGTGCTACGCGGTCCACATATTCTCGAGTTTTAGGGGGTAGAGAGTGGGGAGGGGATTTTTAAAAATTCCTCAATGGTGAGGATTATTTTTTGGAACTACACTAAACATGATACTTCTGTTCAGGACCAGTGGTTATAATCCTATAATCACTGGTAGCTTAACCAACCACAGTGCACTAAACTCTTTACATTAAAATTTTACTAAATATATATACAATGGTATTATAAGACACTTCCTGTACCTGTATTAATACTAGTGGTAATAGTATTGGAATACTGYGCTGGTCAACAGGAGGATCCACATTAGTTATAACTAGTTGTGCAATAGGTCCTATTTCCCTTAGAATTGCAGAACACAGTAGTTTGATCTTCTTTGATCCTTGCTGTGGCTCAGATACCACATTTTTGAGTTCTTCAACCAGGTCTGTTAGGACTCTAGTATACAAAATATCAAATATTTATAAATTATAAGTGTTATAATTAAATCTGGTTAGTTGGTGTGCTTTATGAGAGTACAAGGCAGGTGCTGAGATGTATGCAGTTATAAAGCAGTTGGGGATTGACAAAATACAATCTTGAGAATTATTAGGGCTAGAAGAATAACATTTACAGGCAAGAGGTTTTCTATCTCTTCAAAAGCAGACAAAAAAAMCCTACCAACTCCTACTGGGGTTTTCTATTAAACTTTCCCAAATTAGAGGACTCAATGTTGAAATGTTGGTAGAGTTGACCCATGTCTTTTTCTTTACTCCCCCCTCCCCTCCCATTAAAAGACCCTTCGGCCCACACAGGCTCAGCAAACTCTTCATAAATTTTAAAATCTTTCTGGCCTCCAAATAAAGGAGCAATGAATTTTCTGAAAGGACAAATAAGTTGATAATTTAGGAACGTCTTTTTCTCTAACCTCCTCTTTCGTCTAGTAGCTGCTGTAAGCAGAAAGAGTCTTCTCAGCTGACTGGTACATTCTGATCCTCTGTCTTGACTTCGAAGGATACCGAGAAGTTTAACACAAAACTCCTGAAATTCACCATCCTCGACCAACCTTGAGAGCAAAATTTAACAAAAATTAATAAGCAAACAAATAGATGAAGTTATTTTTATTTGAAAGAGAAGCGTTAATGTTCAGTTACCGAGCTTTTTTCAAGACACTTGAAGGATCTCTACCACTTTGATCCGCCATCTTGGTTTGTTTTGATTGACCGCTGGTACTAAATTGAGCCTTCACTGAAGTGGGCGTGGTGGGGTGCATGTTATTAGAGGGAGTAAACAGGGCACTCAAGAAACAACAATAAATTAATAAAAAATGTATTTTTTTAAATTGTTTACTTCATGAATATTTCTCATGTAGCTCATAGTTCTAGAAAGCTTTGGGTAGTATTCTTTCACCGGCTTACAATTGAGGCAAGAATTGAGCTTATTGTTGGCTTGATTTTGTCCTTTGCATTGCAGAGGAATATTCGTCTATTATTTCTCRAAATTTACGCGTTGCCGTCCAAGTATGGAGGTGTAATAATCTCTAATACTGTAGCACCGTAAACGAGTAAAAATAAATCATTTCATAGGTTCATTATCCAAGAATACTTTTGAAACAATGATAAGAAATATGAACAACATATCAAAGCAGAGTGGCGCAGTGGAAGCGTGCTGGGCCCATAACCCAGAGGTCCAAGGATCGAAACCTTGCTCTGCTAACTCTTTTGGATATTTCCAATCATGATTCAAAGTACCTTTTTAGCTTTCAATATGTTACTGATTTACAGTCTCTACTTATTTTTAAAAATGCAGTTAAGCGGCAAAAGTCCCTATGTTCATTAGGAGCGTAGCGTTATTATAAAAACTGTCCTTTCTTCGCCTTTCTTTTTAGTTATGAACGGGAAATCGTTCATTTGCCAAAATACGATTCCTGCACGTAAATACTCAAAGTATTTCTTTACTTTTAGATCATCTATGGTGTTTCTGATTTTTGGAAATAAATTAGATTAGTGTTGGTCTTAATTCAGCAGCAATAAGTTCATCAAAATTCTTTTTTTTTTTTCATTGAAAGGGGGATTAGCTCAAATGGTAGAGCGTTCGCTTAGCATGTGAGAGGTACCGGGATCGATACCCGGATTCTCCAAAAATGTTTTTTGTTCATTCTTCTTTAAAACACAGCACAGCTTTATGTGTATTAACGAGAGAAAACGAACTAGTTATTTTCTCTTGATACTAACTTATGAAAGTCTCAAAATTATAAATTATAAGTTTTCGTTGAAGTCGTATCTATATTAATGCGTCTTCTCGTGCGCAACCTTTAAGCAAAAACAAATGTTACTCTAGGGAATGACATGTTGGCTAAAGTGGGGGAAACATTACATCCAAGTTAAATAGGTCTATTGATCAAGCCCACCCAAAGAAAGACACGTCTTTGGGGAAGATAAATATTCCCGCACATTTTACCATGGGAAATAAGCTGTCAAGTCTCGGGAATATCAATCGTTGACGCTCGGAATGCACTCGGCCGTTCGCAAATTTGATTCACGGAGAAAAAAAGGCCGGACGTCGAACTGCAGTCGGTTAGGTCTCAGAAACACCCAAAGAAAGACACGTCTTTGGGGAAGATAAATATTCCCGCACATTTTACCATGGGAAATAAGCTGTCAAGTCTCGGGAATATCAATCGTTGACACTCGGAATGCACTCGGCCGTTCGCAAATTTGATTCACGGAGAAAAAAAAGCCCGACGTCGATCTGCAGTCGGTTAGGTCTCAGTAGGTAATTGCTGTTTTGGACAGTTGTTACTCACACGATTGGACAGCTCAACCGGATGTCACTTTTGAGTTTTGAGCAATCGATTACATCTACAAATAATTGTTTATCAATAATTTGTTTGAAAGATTCTGTGATTTTAATATGCAGCCCGTAAAGTCCTCCACTGGTCATTAATGTAAAGCGCATTGAGACGTTGCATAAATGCTCTATACAAGAACCTCCCATTATTATTATCATTATTATTTTATTAACAATAAAGTAACTAGGAAATGACAAGTAGTTTGTAGCTTGGATGTAGTCTTGGATATAAAATGTACATGGCAAGATTAAGTAAATTTCATAAAACAAAGGCCTTTCTTTGCTTCTTGTACAGCTTTACGTAGTTCTTCTGTCCTTGGACTAGGATCTCTTTGTAATCTGTAAAAGAATAACAGATAAAATAATAAACACGGAGAAACACTCAGGATCAATAAAATTCAATATGGCGGCTCTTCCAGCAACGACTTCGTTATGACGCCTTGCTAAATGTCGAACGTTGGACGGAAAACGCCTCACGTCGGACTGCAGTTTGAGGTTTGCGGAACCTAGCAAGAACGTCGTGCTAAAGGTCTCTAATATCAATGATTGACGGTAGCACACTCCACTCTAACGTCTGTGGTCTCGGGTTTGATTCATGGACTTGGTATCATATGTGAGTAGATCTCTCCCTTCATTCGATTGGTTTTGTTCCCTCCCCACAAAACCTAACAGGCTAAATTGCAATTCGATCTTTAAAATAATGTCGTTTCCTGACTTAGATCAGCCCAGAGGTTGTTTCAGGGTATGATCTGTGAGTTAGSCATGCCCTGACTTTGATCAGCCCAGAGGTTGTTTCAGGGTATGATCTGTGAGTTAGCCATGCCCTGACTTTGATCAGTCCAGAGGTTGTTTCAGGGTATGATCTGTGAGTTAGCCANCCAGAGGTTGTTTCAGGGTATGATCTGTGAGTTAGCCATGCCCTGACTTTGATCAGTCCAGAGGTTGTTTCAGGGTATGATCTGTGAGTTAGCCATGCCCTGACTTTGATCAGTCCAGAGGTTGGTTCAGGGTTGAGTCTGTAAGTTAGCCATGCCCTGACTTTGATCAGCCTAGAGGTTGTTTCAGGGCTCCATTTGCCGTTAGTTAGCAGTGAACTGACTTTGATCAGCACAGAGTTTAAGGTTTCAATAAAATTTGACTTTTTTCAATATAACCTTACCTTATAATTTCCCTGATGTCACCACAGCCCATAATAACCAATGTTAAACAGTCGTCTGGTATATCTTGATATATCTCACGAACTCTGGTGTCCAGTTCCTTCAACACTTCCTGGTAAAACAAAAGAAAATTGAGTTGGAATATTCTCTGTCCTATTCTCCTTTCTCCATTTCTCATTACTTTTACTTCCTCTGGTTTATTCCATCCCAGTAGTTCACGCTTTGCTTCCCTTTTATTCACTTTTATTATTAGAACATTTAAGCTTGGGCATCGTGTTTTCCTATTTCAGCCCACGTGTCATTCCCTAGACAACAAGATTCTTTGTTTGAGTTGTCATGCTTACGATTAATGTCTCTTCTCATTTGCAACCGTTAAACAAAGAAGTGATACTCTACAGAATGACATGTGGTCTGAAATGGGAGAACATTAATTGAGCGTAAACAACAAGATTGCCTTTACGAGACCTCAACCACCCCTAGATCCATCACTGCAAATCTTCGTCCTACCTCTTTCTGTTCTTCATTCATTGCTTTGTCTTTGAGCCCTAAGGAAGAGAACAACAAGATCAAGAACTGATAAAAGAAGAGTAAATATTTAACACACTAACGACCTACTGAACGGTGAATTTTGTTTCAGTCAATCACAGCGCGTTTAGCTGTCTTGCCGCCGGCCCTCATTCCCAGGCTACTGTGACCCAACTTTTTCGTATTTTTTGTCTTCTTTGACGAAAATATAAAGACGTGTCAGATACGTGTGGACGGGACAAACAGATGTCTTGGCTGTTCTACAAATAACATATTCAGTGATGACAAACATTACGTTCATAGAAATGTTGTACAGCTTGAAGATGGATCCAGGTGAAGTCAGATGAATTGATGAGATTTGCTGCCTTTAAAACAATCTAAATGAGGAAGAAAGAGAAAATTAAGTTCGCATGAAGAATATTAACAAAAACATTGTTTTTGGCCTCAAATATTGTCTGTCCTAAGCCGATGTTTTCTGTGCATTTGCGAGTTCTGCTCTTAAACTAAATCCCGCGGGAATCCCGCCTCGATGTAGATATGCGCAGAAAGTGTGCGCGCTGAAATTAATAGCTACCGTCCTTAACTCACCTCACTATCCGAGGTACACGGCACAACATTGTGTCCTCCTGATCTGCACAAATTAGCTATGTATGGATAATCTAGCATTGAACCTAAATTGGAATTTAAGAAATAGCTAAATCAATTCATGGAATATCGGATACATTTGTAAGGAGAGAAAACACATTTGCATATTCTTACATGTTTTCTTTTCACTGTCCATTTTGTCAAACAATCTAGAAATAGGAAAAAAAGGATTTCGTTCAATATTGCAATTCTTAGTAAGTTTTTCTGTTTTAAAACGCATGGTTTTTTAAGAGGCATGACCGTTTCAGCTATGCTTGTGACAGCCTTCATCGGAATTACGATTTTTAAAAGGTGATTATTATTCGATGATAAGGCTRACTGAAGCCTGTACAGGGATTAAAATAACGGCCGGACATCAGACAATGTCCGTCCAGAACTGTAACATGTCTGGTCAAATTTTTGCCTTGCTGGTCATTGTGACCAGTATTGTTGAGCTAGAAATGAGGTATGACTGAGCTAAAGTTAGTTTGGCCTGTGATCATGACCAGCGACTGATCGGCCGTTATTTTAACACATCTTTACTTACCCTTCTGATGCATTCCCTGCCAAACCAAAAGTTGGACCTATGAAAAGCAAAGTATTAATTATCATTCTGTCAAAATATTACATAGTTTTTGACGGCCACAGGTTTGTTAGTATTTTTATACTAATACGTGCCACCCTCGTTAAATAAAGTATTCATTATTACTATTACAGTGGCGTTTTGTCCTCTTGAACCCTGGATATTTTGAAGTACCCCCTTTACTTGTACTTGAGAACGCATTCCATTAGCCTGCGCAGCCTCCCCAGCCCCCTCCCCCCGGGACTTTTGACTCGTAACCAATCTTCCTCGACCAATCGACACGGACAGACAGACCGGACAGTGACCAAGGGAAATAGAGGGACTTAGCTCGCAGTCTAGCATCCCATGGACTTATACCCCAACATTTATTTTACTCTCTATATCTTGAACTCTGTTACTTCAAACCCTTTCCCTGAGCCAGGAGGTTTGAGGTAATGGAACTCCACTCTAGAAAAATATACGCGTCAAGAAATGCTTGAAAATTAATATTTCAAACCGAATTTCCAAACTACACTACCTTCCCGAAATTTTAGTTTGACAAGTTCCATACAAGTCTTGGCATCTTCTATTGAACAGTGACCATCTGAGCCTTTCTGAATTTTTTTCCTAAAATGATGAGAGATAAGCAGTTGGATATATCATGTCAATATGATCAAGATCAGTGCATCTTACTATTTTAAAGAGCCAAGATAAGTAATGTCTGTCCTATGCCATTAATGGATTGGGGGGGGGGGGGGGGAGGAAATTGGCTCTGCAGATGTAGGACGTTATATTTGTTGCACATGGGTGTTGTGTTGGTGTATAATGATAATAATAATATCTCGCTGGGGCTCAGATGGGGGGGGGGGGGGGGGGGGGGTGTAAGGTGTATATAGAGTACACAAGTTAATAGTATACAGCTCTAAATCATTGTTGGTGTGATATCTAATAACCAACCTACCAAGAACCTACCAACACCCTACCAACACTTTACCAACACCCTACCAACATCCTACTAAATCCTACCAAACAACCCACCAACACCCTACTACCACCTTACCAACAACCTACTAACAACCTAAAAAATAACCTACCAACACAATACGAACACCCTACCAACATTCTATCAACAACCTACCAATAAACTGCCAATGTATACCCTACCTTCATCCTACTATTAAAGAACCAACAGCCTATCCACATTACAATATTGTTTTGTAATATATTACCAGTAAGTCATTACAATTTTGTATTTCCTTCTGACACCCTCATTTTTGCTCAAGACACTGCACAGTACTTACTGGAGATAAAATTCAGCTAAGAACTTAAGTGATGGTTTGAAATATCCTCCCCTCTTGTCCTTGTATGCAACGGCTGTGTCAATGACTTTGTTGTGGTACATCTGTGACAGAAAAAATTTATAGGATCTTAAGTATCTGTTCCAAGGAAGATACAGTAGTGGGTACTTCTACAATGTTGATTAATCCACTCTTGCAAATGTTACAAACCTTAAAGCCCTACCCCTGTATAATATAACAGTTGCAAGACCTACCTTGAGAGCATTAAGATCACAATCTAAAGAGTGTCCTGCCAGGATTGCACCAGTTGGTAGTAAGGCTGTTACTTGTTTCTGAACATCTTGTAAAGTCACAGTAACCCCTTCAAGAATTTCTGCTGTTATTCCACTGTACCTTAGATAAAAACAATCCAAACTCTCATTATACTTCTAACCTCATTTACTCTAACCATACACCTCTGTGCTGATCAAAGTCAGGTGAGGGGAGTTCACAGATTAAATTGAAATTTAGCTTGTTAGGTTTTGCAGAGGGAGTATAACTGGAGAATCAGGAAAACCATCAAATTAAGGGGAAAACCCAACAAACATGTGTGATACTGAGTCCAGGAATCAGACCTCAGACCCCAGACATGAGAGGCGACTGCACTAATACTTTATTATTACCCCTGATTGATATTAGCTGACCACTTATCTGGTTTTCCTCTCTTTGCAAAAATTAACTTCTAAATTCCAATAGACCTCTTTACCTTGGCCAAAATGTTCTCCCATTTCATACCATGTGCCATTCTCTTGAGAAAAAGATTCTTTGTTTGTCAATGAGTTGTATCCATAGTCATGTGTCTTCTTACTTGCAACCGTTAAACAAAAAATGGTACTCTAGGGAATGGTACGTGGTCTGAAATGGGCAAAACATTATGCCCAAGATAGAAGAGGTCTTTTTGATCTAGAAAGGGCCACAAGCTTGCGAATAATTTTTGATTTTATTTTGTCCTCCCCAAAAAAAAACATTTTGGACTACATGTAGTCATTATGAATATAGTTATGTGTGGTGAGCATACTTAGTCTTGTAGTCCAGTATTGGCCTGCCTGGTTTAACGAGAGTGTCATATAACATGTTCATCGACTCATCTACTATTGATATCCTGGTTAATTCATGGCCTTCTGATGTTACACACTGAAAAATAAAAGCATAATAAATGTTGTTAAGGACCTTTATCACACCATGTTTAATCCCATGAGAATAAAAGCCTTTGCTTAACCATGTGTAACCTCATCCTGAAGCACTTGAATGTGAGGCAATTTATTGTTCCAGCCAACATAGATGCTACATGATAAAGGCCCATTATTGAATGAGTACATCACAGTTTATATGTCTAAACTCCCTTTTTATGCAAAGAGGATTTATCCAATCCTAGGTTCATTTTTTAAATTATCCATGAGTTTTTAAACTAAAAATTCTTTAAGGGGAAAAAAAAAAAATTAAATCATGAAGATAAATATTAAAATTATCAAAATGATTTAAGTTAAAGAAACTACTGACATACCATTTCACAATCCACAGCAAAAACAGGCTGTTCCTCTGAGTTACCATTAGTAGGAGAGTCGCGAGTGATGCATGGGAGAAAACCTGAGTGAGTATATCAAATGCAATGAGCAAAACGTTTTAGTACAAAAGCTTTTCATCAGGTCTGGCAAATGCATAGAGTGATGACTTCAGATTGTTACCATGGCAGCAGGTTACTATGGCAACATCTGGTTCATAGATGTGGGGAAGGGCAAGGAAAATTTGGCATATCCACTTTTTTAAGTACAAGTATAAATCTATAGTATTATCGATCTTTCATACATTGTATCCCCCTCCACTTTCAGAGGTCAAATCTTGGACAAAATAGTTGAGGATTTTGGAGTTCAAAAGGTAAGTTCCCTTACAATGAGCAACTTCCCTCCAAAACAATGTTGGTTGACGACAGCCTTTTTTTAGATCATGTTTTATGACCAAAGTTTTATTTTTTTATGACATGATTGAAAATTCTTATTACTCTTTTTGTCCAAGATTGGGTGCTTGCTTGTCCCTGTATTACATATACTGTTGTTATCATGACTTACCATCTTCATCATTAGCTGCCTCATCATAACATCTCACAGGATATTTGTTGGATTTTAGTTGATCTTTAGTTAAAAGGAAAACAGATTTGTCTACTGGTACTGCTGGTAAATCTTTGTCACCTAAAAAAGTAATGGTTCAGCTGGTTTAGCTTTTTAGGCTCAGATAACTGGTTATATGCAATGTTGCATGCAACAGTAAAATAACAATAGCCAGTGATATCTTCACATGTGAAGATATTATATGATATCTTTACATGTAAAAAATAACACTATTGGTAAGAATTCTTAGGAATAGCATTAAATAGTAAAAAAACACCAAAATTGTATATAAATTGTATCCACACCCAACCATCCACCTATTGTCACCCTACTGATAAACTGTTAATGCACCGAGTGTATTAAAATGTTTTGCAAGTCAAACCTCTTGAGGGATAAGATTCTTTGTTTGAGCTGCATCCATCTTCATGAATCTTCTCAAGTGTTTCTGATAAAAGAAGTGTATGTATCATCATCATGATGCTCATCATCATCAATCATCATCATCATGCTCATCATCATCAATCATCATCATCATGCTCATCATCATCAATCATCAATCATCATCATCACCATCAATCATCACCATCATCACCATCATCATCCATCACATCATCATCATGCTCATCAGTAATAAAAATAATAATAACAATAAAAATAATAACAATATTATCAAAAACAATAATAATGATAATAAGTTCTTACATAATGCATCAAACAAAAGTCTAGATGTTTTCTACAATTAATTTCAACATTATACATTTACCTAATAGAATACAAAACAATACAACTAGTGTTGAAATCTTTAGTCTTACAAAAGTTGCATATGATATTTATGATATGACTATACCATTATCGTTGATTTTATCTCGTGATTTTTTCATTTTCTTTTTTAACTGTGACTTTGACAAGGGAACCGAAAGAAGCGTCTCATGAGCATGTTGAAAGGTGAAATCTGTTCCTGACGCATTTGTTGGAACAACCTATAAATCACAGATTAATGCATTAATATAACTAAATAAAGCATTTGCTTAAGTTGAGGTTGAAGTGCGCAGCTTCTTGAAGGCAGGGCTTAAAATAACGGTGGGTCAGTTGCTGGTCATGATCACCAGCCAAGTTAATTTTAGCTCAGTCATACCCTGTTTCTGGCTCAATGTTACTGGTCAAATTGACCAGCAAGGCAAAGATTCTACTGGATAAGTTCAAATTCTGGGTGGGCATTGTTCAACAACAGGCTGTTACAGTATTTTAAGCCCTAGAAGGAATAATCTATGATAGGCATGTATTGTTATACTCACAGTAGAAGTTAACTCCTTGGTTATAAAAGGAAAGCTTGTTACATGTTGTGCAAAGTCATTTTCCCCAACACTTCTCAACAGTATCACTACAACTTTCTTGATTTTCTTCCGATTTCCAACCTGACACCAACTCAATTGCTCATGGCTGGTCTTTCTCAACATACAATATAATATCAGTTCTTGGATATCTCTCAGCTTCAAGCGTTCACCTAGTTTTTTATTGTGTTTGAAGTGTTGCCTTAGCAGCAGAGTAAAAAAAGGCTTACTTTTTCCATGGCCCTGTAACAATAAGAGGAATAGTAAGTCTGTATTACGAAGGGGGTTTCCATCAATAAGTTTGCCTTTCAGTTTGTCTTTTATTGCCATTTTATTTACAATTCACAATTTATACACAAATACAGTGGTAGTGTACCTCTTTGCCTGATTTGCTCTTTTTCTTCTTTTTTGAAGATATTTGACCTAGTAAATCACACAAAACTTGAGCTTAAAAACCGCATTTAAAAAAATAATTTATAGTAAAGAACATAAATTTATCTACTAGCCTCCATACATGTAGGCTATTATTGTAGTGCTACAGAGAGGGACAAGGAGATAAGGTTGGTGAGAGCATAGTTATTTAACTTTGGTGAGAGGAGAATTAAGGGATAGGACTTGTTAAAGGATGAGTCTTTAATCATTTCCCTTCCCTTCCATGATTCAAATCCCCTTCTGCACTTTAATGCAAGCTAAGAAGATTATTACTGACTACAAAAAATACTTTACGATATTTACCATTTATTTTCCCATCTTGATAACAGCTACCATCTCCAATATCATTATCATCTTCCACAGATTCTAACTTTCTCTTGTTATTCTTGTATTTCCCCTTTTGCTTTTTCTATGAAAATAGAGCAAAAATTTTCAAAAAGAATCCCAGAAGTGACGGGAAAAATTCCAGTGAAAATTTATTAAGGAGACCTGCTCTTTTAGAATAATCTTACTATGCAAAGTTTCTTGCAAGACTTGTGCACAGTTTTTTCAGGTCCGGTTCTTTTATACTTCCATACTTACCCTCTCTCTCTTGTCTGAACTCTCAACAGAACTATCTGCATTCAATTCTTGCATTTCCATGTCTATAATGAATTAAATATCAGMCTTTTTAGTTTTAAAGCGACTCAACTCAAAAGTGACCTCGTCCGCCATGTTGTTCTCGGTCAATAAGACTGGGTACTGCTGACACAGGTAACCCATGAGACTAGACTTTAGACTTGCAGTAAACCGAAAGGGTACCTGCGGTTCCCACAGCTCCTCCGCCTATGGACCGACCTATAATCCCGTACATTGCTTACGGCATAACGATGAATCGGATGCCCATCGGATGCCTTGGACATATTTTTTGCGTACGGTAAAATTACGGTCATAAGCACGGAACTTGATCCTTCCAGTTTAATATAAGCCCCATGCCCCGGTTATAAGCCCACCTCTGGTATTGCGCTCTGTTCATGACGTGATTACACATAGGAGATTAGATTAGAAAAGTAAAAGAAAGAAAACGCCTTTTCCTCTTCATCCTAAACCCTCCAGTTACCTGAAGTCTGACACGCAACGTTTCCCTCCCCACGTGGCGAGGGAAATGTTGCATGACAGACACTAAGTACGTCTGCGTAGGCTTCTAGAGTTGCACCGAATTGCAATTATTAGAGAGAAGAGGTTAGATGGAGTAGTTTGTTTGCCTGGTAGAAGGATAGTAGGTTATTGTTCGGATCTTGATTCTTAACAGTGGATTGAATAGCCGCTCGTTTCATGATTCAAGGGTGGAGTGGGCGTTGACAAGTCAGCTCTCATCTGCAAGTTGTGCCGGATTGACTTATCAGTTTGTCAAACTAAATCTTTGGGAAATGCCTATTTTTAATTTCCAGTATTTTATCGGCATTATTACTTTATTCAAGCAGAATACTATTGCAAAGCTAAGCGCAAAGCTATTTTTCTAAGTGTTTTTAGATATCGTAAATCTTAGTCGAGCTTGAAATCATGCGGTACAGAACTTCAAGTGTGTAATATAATTGAAAAATTAAACGAGCCTTACCTGTAAGGTGAAGTTTGATTGTGATTCTACCAAATCCAAGGTGACGCGCTGAGGGTTAACATGAGATGCACACGTGCTGCCGTGGATGCTCAGAGTTTTAAATGTTGTGGACACGATATAGAGAAAAAACGGGTAAAAAGCACGGGTGGGAAAACAGAATAACTGTAAGGGAGGGCATGTTAACCCTCAGCGCGTCACCTTGGATTTGGTAGAATCACAATCAAACTTCACCTTACAGGTAAGGCTCGTTTAATTTTTCAATTCTACCAAATCACGGTGAAGTCACTTCCGGTTAACATGAGACTTTAAAGCAATTATTGTGGACACAACCACTATTGA